CTGAACAGAGGGCGCGGGGGGCTGCTAGAGGCTGGAGTCAGGGCCTGGGTTGCGTGCACACTGCCCCTCTGAGAGCTCCGGCAAGAAGCTCTTCCCACGCTAGGGCCGGGCGGGGAGGCATGGCCAGGGAGGAGACGGGGCCCTGCCCCTTCACACAGTGACCCAGGGGCCTGGGGAGGGTCCTCCCGTGGGACTGTCGTGAGGTTTGCTGTCCCGCGTTGGTCACCAAAGTGCCAGTCTGGTCTCACCCCCTCCCCCGGGACCCCTTTCTGCCAGAGTCCCCGTTTTTCTCCTGCGACCCGAGACACTAGCCAAGGAGCTTCCCTCTCCCACATCCACCCTGGGCGCAGAGGCACCACGGGTTCCGGCAATCACGACAGACTCTGGATCCAGGACCCCCAGAGGAAAACTCTGACAGCTGGTCAGAGCAGACTGCCCCCGGGCCAGGCTCCGACACGTCCGTCCCCCTTGCTGGTCTGGGTGAGCCACGGAGGGTGGGCTGCGGGCTCTCGCGCCTGGCGGCCCGATCCTCCTCAGTCAGGAGCCCTGCTGGTTCAGCCTGAGGCCCCTCAAGCAAGACCCCAAGAGAAGCAAGACCTCTCCAGGAAGCAGCATGAAATGGAGCAACTGTTGAGCACCCAGTGTGCACGTCCTCCGGCGAAGGAAAGAGCCAATGACAGGAGGGGTCGTTTTACTGTTTCGTCCATTTATTATGTACAATATTAAGGCACAAGTTCAAGCAGCACAGAACAGGAACATCTTTGGCTGACAACAGCATCAATGCTTGCAGTGGGGACACGCCGTGTCCTCGGACCCCCACTCTGTGCACGGACCCACCTGGCTGCACAGCTCTGCCCACCACCCCTCAGCACAGACCAGCCCTGCGAAGGCTCCACGCTGCAGACGGTCCCAGCATCCACAGGGGAGAACCCGGCCTGCCCCACCCGGCATAGCCACGCGCACAAGGCAGGCGGGAGGCGCAGTGGGCCACAGGGCTGGCGTTAAAATCGGACGCCCGCCCTTGCCCTCATTTCTGTAAGTGCCTCAGGGAGGAGGGGGCTCCCTGACCCTCTTCAAAAGGAAAAAACACCTTGACTAAAAAAAAAACTGCTGTGGATATATCTGCTTATGTTCTGTTTTGTAATAGATACGATACTTGCAGGCATCTCTATGCGAGCAGGATCTAGGCACAGTCACATGAAAACACAACAGTGGGACTCTGGGCACCGACCCAGGAGACAGGGGGCACGCGCTTCAGCCAGGGGGCAGGGTCTCTGCTCTGTGAAGGTGCGAGGCTCCGTGACAAGAAGCACTCAGGCACGCACAGCGTGGCGACACGCACTCACGGGGACGCGGCTTTGCAGGCGCCTACCAGCGTTCACGCGACGGACACGCACGTCTGCGGCGAGTGCAGAGGTGTGGACGCCGCAAGGATGGCAGGAGCACAGGTGCTGAAAGTGTGTGGACTCAGGAGTACTGTCGCCCTTGAAGGGGTCCCTGTGAGAGGCTCACCTCCAAGCCTCAGCCCAAGAAACTTCTTAGGCATTTTCTTTGAAACACAAACGGCGTGCCGGCTCTCACTGTCCCCTGGACTGACACCACGGGGCCACAGCGACCTGAGATGACTTCCAGAACATAATCCATCCTCAGGGGATGTGCAATTCCTCTCTCCAAGGGGAATCAAAGGAACATCCAGGCCCTGGAGGACAGCCTGACAGGAGCGTTTCCCACCATGTTCCCACCCGGGCAGCACTGCAGTGGGTCCGTCCGCGTCTCCCAAAGGGACACCCTTCAAGGAAGGGGGTGAGATGCAGTGCCCAAGCTTTTGGATGCTCAGAGAGGTTCCACCACAGCCCTGCAGTCATACCTCACATGATGCACTCGCATGTGCACGCGTCCTTGTTCAGTTACTAATGAGAGAAGGGTATGCTACCTACGAGGAAAAGAGTGTGTCATCATTGGTTTGGGAAGAAGCTCCCTCAGAGATGCTGGCCTCAGCAGGCCCCCCGCTGGCCAGCTTTTGGGGGCTTTTCAACTACTCTGCCCGTTCCAGGGGGCCACACGTCAGAGGCAAGTTCACTAAAAATCCACACATCGGGGGAAGACTAAATTTTAAACACATGGATTACTTAGCAAAAGAAGAGGAGACCAACACTCATACGGCGCACACCATGGCTGCCTCAGGTTCTGGGATGTGGGGAAGCCAATGGGGGTGGGTATCCTCTGCCTACCTGAAGCCTTCCTATTTACCAACACCTGTGGGAGCCCACTGACTGTGGTCACGGCACTCCTGGCTTAAGAGGAGTGCATGGCCATGATGAGAACACAGAGATGCATGCTCCACCACAGGCCTGGAGTGAGACTTTGGCTCCTGGAGAATGCCGCTCTCCACCTGGCGCCGCTCCTGCCATCCGCACATGAGTCCCGGCCTCCAAGCCCCTACCCCCACGTGCCCTCTACTGCCTCCTGGGCCAGCCCCACCTGATGCCTGTGCTCGCGTGTGGCTCGGGGGCTCCGAGGCTGCTGAGACGGGAGAGTGTCTCCCTGGGCACTGGCACTGGGAGGACGCAAACCCGGGTGGGAACAGAGAGGTGTTGAGGCCGGCCTCTGGGCACGGCCGACCCGGGAGCCTCCCCTGAGCCACAGGACCTCCGTTCCAAGTCCAAACCCATTTGTGCCACTGCTTCCATGGCCACGGCCAGCCTGCTTGAGTCAAACTCACACAAAGTCCTGACAGCAACCCTGCAGGATGAACCAAGGAGGGCCCACCATCTCCAAGAAAGCCCGGGGGGCCAAGGAGGCCCAGCTCTGCATGCAGTGTCTGGGTGCCAGCCCCAGGAAGCAGAAAGAGCCAAGGAGAGAAGAAAGTGCTGAGAAAGTGTTCCGCACAGCTCTGAAAATTTTGGAAGATAATGTGTTTTTCCTGGTGGCTGAGCACCACAGACCCGTGGACAGTCATGCTTTCCGTGTACAGAGCCATCTACCTGGCGGAGCGCACGCCAGAGAACTGGCTCCACAGCCCGCCCTGGCCGCCCACACAACCGCCGCTCAGTCCAGGACAGTGCGAGTTGCGTGACTCCACAGGCAGTGGCTCCCTTGTACCCGAGACAGGACTCTCATTCCGGAAGGAGACCCCGCTGACAGCTCTCAGGAGGTCCAGGCTTCTGGACACGCACAGGTACTCTTCAGGTAGAGTGTGCCGTGCACTCATGATGGGACACAGTGGCTCCTTCTGCCTGGTGTCTAGAGGCGACCCTAGGGGGTCTGTTTAGCCCTGACTCCTAGGCCTCAAGAGGCAGACAGCTGTGTGTGGGAACAGACAGGGGAGATGGGGCCAAGGCGGGGGTCCCACGGTAGGGGCCAGTGCCACAAAGCAGGTCTAGGCCTGGCTCCTCGGCTTTGGAAGGGGCACAACCTCCCTGAGCCTCAGTTTCTCCTCGGAGAAGGCAGGACACCAACTCAGCCCCTTCCCAGGGCAGCTTGAGGACTCACGAAAGGCACTCACCATGGTGCCTCTGGACAGCTGGCACTGAAGACGTGGCGAGTGCTGTTCTGAAAGTGAAGCATGGTAAGACACCGTAAGCTGCCCAGAACTCAGAGCAGGTGCTCGGGACGCGCAAGCCGGGCGCCAGGGACGCGCTGACGACGGGGTGCGGGGGGCCTGGCCGGCAGGAGGCCGCCCTCGGAATGAGACCCTTGCAGCCTCAGCTCCCTTCCCATGGAAGAGTCTCAGCAGACCAGAAGGAAAAACTAGTGACAAAGACCACAGCGCCGTGGAGGCCCTGATGCTCGGTGACGTGTCCCACCGAGCACACCAGTCCAGTGTGCCGAGCAGGACGTGGGGACCCCAGCGGGGGCTTGCGCTCCGGCCCGCGTCTGGGGGACTGCTCAGGGGACCCTGCGGAGGATGGGGGCAGGGCGCAAAAGAGGCTCTGGGTTGCCCGGCAGGGGCTCTGGCTCCGCCCGTGTGTGGGGGAGTCGGCGCGGGGCGGC